ATTATTGTTGTTGCTGTCAGATGTCATTGAGTTGGTTCTGACTCATAGCAACTCTAGGTATGACAGGATAAAATACTGTCTGGTCCTGCATCATCCTTACAACTGATACCATGTTTGAGCCCACTGTTGCAGTCACTATGTCAGTCTATCAAGGCAAGGGTCTTCCCCTTTTTCACTGACCCTCTATATTAGCAAGAATGATACCCTTCATATTGGTCCCATCTGACAACATGATCAAAGTACAAAAGATGAAGTCTGGCTATTCTTACTTCTAAGGAGTAAGTACTTCCAGCAGTACTTCCTCCAGGACAGATTTGTTCCTTCTTCTAGGAGTCCAAGGTACATTCAATATTATTTTCCAACACCCTCACACAAATGCATCAATTCCTCTGTGGTTTCCTTATCCCTTGCCAAACTCTCACACTTATATGGAGCTACTGAAAATATCATGGCTTGGGTCATGAACTTTGTATTCAAAGTGACATCTATTCCCTTTAAAAATTTAAAGAGGCCTTTTGCAGCAGATTTTCCCAATGCAATACATTGTTTGAATTTTTTGACTGCTGTTTGAAGGGCATTGATTGTGGATCCAAGGAAATGAAATATTTGACAGCTTCAATAAAGATTAGTATGGAAAAATAAACTAATATTATTCACAGATGATATGATAGTTTACATGGAATATCATTTGAATACATACAAAAAAAGAAATTAAAATTGTACTTATGAAGATCACACAATCCCAAGTTCAATACACAAAAATTATTTATGTGACCATATAAAAGCAACATCATACAATTGGAAAATAAAAGTGTAACATACAGTAATATGAAAAAGATAAAAAACATACACATAAATATAATTTTAATGTGTAGAAGCTGTGTATTGAAACCATAAAACCCTATAGAGAAATATTAAACAACCCCTAAATAATAAAGAGACATACCTCACTTATGGATTGAAAGAGTCAAAATTGTTAAGATGGTTAATTCTTCCTAACTCCAAAAACCAAACACACTGCCATGGAGTCGGATCTGACTCATAGAAACCCCTTCTTGGTTTCTGAGGCATTATCACTACAGAAGTAGATTATCCAACCTTCCTTCTGAGGAGTGGTTGGTGG